GGGGCAGGCTGGGATCGAACTCATGCGGAAGTGGCTTTAGCTTCTCAGTGCTGTGCTTTAACCCGCTGCACCACCAGGGAGGGCCTGATTATTAATTTTTATTGAAGTATCTCCATCATTTCTAAGTCTCTCTCTTGCTTTGAAATACACACAGTGACACTGACATACCTGAAATAACTCCCATGATAACAAATAAACTATGGGTGACATGCAGTCCACAATATAATTATCATGACTATATTCTTTTTTCTCCCTTACAAGAAAGCTTCTAGGAATGTAAATCAGTCAGAGTAATGCTGGGTTAAGCATCTGCTACTTTTAAGGAAAAATTCTTAATCCAACTTCCACATATGAAACCAGAGTAGGTCCTTGTTTATTGTTGTGGATCGGATCTTGGAAACCGGGACTTTTAGCAAGATGGCATAACAACAGGATACAATGAAATCCGTTATGAACTTAAAACTTCATATTGCTTTGAAGCTTTTTTTGAACTAAAAAGCTTCCTTCAGTGTTGGCTGGGATGTGTTATAGCAACAGTGTTTCAGGGCCTGCTGTACACACAACCAAACTATTTGCAGGTAGAACTTACTGTTGACTTCATCACACCCTTTGGGGCATGCTGGCTGGGAAGTGTGGGTCCACATCTTAACTGGGTGCCATTCATTTGTGCTTTCATCAGCTCTTTCCTGAGCACCTGCTGTGTGTCAGGAATTTGGTTTTGGATCCTGGGGGCAGCATTTCACATGCCAGTCATAGCTTCTGCCTTTGTGGGGCAGACGTGGAGTAAGGATTTAAAGTGCAGTGAGCTTACAGTCAAAGAATCATGGTGCCCTCCGGAAGGCTGTCACCTGGGCCCTGACCCAGCCCATCGACTCAACAATGTCTCTGTAGAAGCCAGGAAGAGTAAACTCAAGGGTGAATTACCGAGGAGTGTGTGGGTGATAGGTGTGGACCGTGGCCTAGGGGCAAGTGAATGCCCTTGCTGGAGCGAGCTCCTCTCACGGGGGTCTGCCCCTGTCAGGAAGTGAGGAAGGAGAAGGGACCGGTGGGCAAGGCAGCCAGACAGGCAGCTAGGGACCAGGTGTGGAGAGAATGTAGCGGAATCAGAAAAGCAACATGCAGTTTTAAGAGTGTGTTGAAGGGAGAGGGGTAAGTATGCTCCACTTGTCAGAGAGCACGCAGGCCTCCTGGGGAATGGCTGTCCAAGGGAAGGAGGCTGGGGAGTGCCACTGGACACCTGCGAGCCCGCACCAGTCCCTCCTGACCCTCCTTGCTGGGTCAGGCGTGGCTGAGGGTCTGAAGGCATTAGGAGGCAGGGTTAAGCCGGCCTCCTGAGCCTCCTGCTTCGTGTCCTGAGGCCGGTCTCGTTCTTTCCTTTCTTCTTCCTTCCCACTAGGGAAACCCAACAGGCTGCGCTGGTGTCACTTATTTGGGGTGCCCCTTTGCGCCCCTTACAGTGTCATTGTGGCAACGCGACAAAGAATATAAACATGATAGGTTAGACGTCGAGGCTAAAAGAGCTGCCTTAGGGACGGACAGCAGTGGGCATGGCATAGGGCACGAGGGTGCAGGAGCTTGGTACGTGCAGGAACGGGGGTGGGCCGTGCAGACATTCACTCACCTCGGGGAGACCCTCCTAAGACCGGCTGATTCAGTAAGGGGCGGTGAGCCAAGAATCCCCGTTTTTACGAAGCTCTCTCTTTCCCCCACCGAGTTGATTCTCACTTCGGTGGCCGAGAAGCTTTTCTTTTGAGAATGCCTCCGTGGTGGCTAGATTTTGAGCCGAGACTCTCAGGGCCCTCAGGGCTGTCACCAGCATGGCCCTGCCGGAAGCCGTGAGCACAGCCCTGGCTGCGCAGCCCGCGGCCAAGGACCGGGCGCGGCGCAGCCCGCGGCCACCAGGGGTCGCCAGAGGCCTCGGCTCC